TTACATATTTCTTCTGTGACTACCAGTTCATGCCCTTTGAAAATGTACCCTTTGGGAAAAAGAAAAAAGAAAAAGAAAAGAAAATTTCCCCTTTGGTTGTCTTTTTCATATTGAATTGTAAAAATTCTTTGTATTTTGTGGCCATCAACTCTTTTCCATAAATGTTAGAAATTATTCTTTAAGGCTATGACTAAGAAGTGAGAAAGCAGACTATTGCATCAAATGCTTATCCAAGATGGTATTTGGTTAAAATGTTTGCCTTGGTTATTTGAGCAATAGTAAGCTTCTTTTGTCTCTCTCCTTCCAAAGATGCATAGAAAAGCTCCTTCTGTCTGAAGTAAAGTGTTGGCTCTGTGTTGGTTATAATTTGCTTTTTCTGGCTGGCAAAGCCTTCTTTTTGTTTTCTGTCTTCTGACAGATTATAGGATTGTGGGGAAACAGCGTCCAGGGCTTTTTCAGGAACTGTGCCATTTCATCTACAGGAGAAGCCATTGGCTTTGGCACTAGAAGAGAATCGGCTCTGCATTTAAAGATGCCAGATCATGCTTGATTCACAAGTTTGCCGCCTCATTTTGTGTATGTGTGTGAAACTTTTTCAAGATGCTGGCTTTTACTTTTTCTACCATGTGCCACCCTTTGAATATGAGAAATTTACCCTCAGTATGAGAAGTTAACAACTTGTTCCTTGTCTCCAACTCCCCAACCCCAACACAAACAATCCAGACATCCCAAACCATAGCAAAAGATGCAATAGTTATTTTAGGATTAGGGAAAAATACACCACACAAATGTTTCCATTCCATTCCATGGTGACTTTGAGTTCAAGTGTTAGTCTTTCCTGTGTAGGCTTGAATTATTTAGGTGTGGAAATGATTTGCTAAGCAAGATGTCTCTTTACAAAGGCATCAGTGAAAGCTAATTGTCAGAGAATTCTATTTCCTGACTCTGGGAAACTTAATTTGTGTAAGACAGAGCACATTTAGGAAACCTCTATTTTTTATCCTTGACACACTTTTCAGGGAGCTGTATAATTTATCATGATTTCAGATGAGAATTTTTATTATGTAAGCAGTCTTTTTTTTTTTTTTTAATGATTATTTTTGAGAGACAGCATGAGTGGGGAAGGGGCAGAGAGAGGGAGACAGAAGATCCAAAGTAGGCTCCGTGCTGACAGCAGAGAGCCTGATGCTGGGCTCCAACTCACGAACCCGCAAGAACATGGCCTGAGTTGAAGTCGGAAGCCTAATCTACTGAACCACCCAGACACTCCTATTAAGTAAGCAGTCTTAACTCCAGTTTTATCTGTTATCTTCATGTTTGTTTGTTTTAAGTAGGTTCCACACCCACATGGAGCCTTTTGCGGGGCTTGAACTCATGACCCTGAGGTGAAGACCTGAGCTGAGATCAAGAGTCAGACACTTAACTAAGTCACCCAGGAGCCCCAACTTTCATGTTTTTAAAACTGTGTATAATAGGGGTGCATGGCTGACTCAGTTGGAAGAACATGTAATTCTTGATCTCAGGGTTGTGAGTTTGAACCCCATGTTGGTTGTAGAGCTTACTTAAATAAACCTTTTATAAAAATTTTAAAAAATGTGTATAATAGGTTTTGAAACCTAGTCAGTTCGATATTTTAGCAAATCTTCCACACATGTTAACACTTCATTCCTCTAGTTTCTATAGATAATTGTTTAAAGTAACTTGTAGTTATATGTTATTTCCATTTAGATTAAGATGGGGAAGATAAATAGGGGAACAAGCCAGTTTGGATATGCTGGTTTGTCTAGTGTGAATTATTATATGGACATGGTTTTTTTTAGTCCCTCTGCCAGAAATGCTTCCCCTTCTGTCCTTCCCAAAACCCACAGTCTTGTAAAAAAGTTGAGGTTTGGCTCTTTCTTGTAGTTTGCTTTTTTTTTTTTCTTTTTTTTTTAACTGTTGTGTTTTCCCTCACTGGACTAAGCACCTTAAAGACAGGGACTGTATTTTATTCAGTTTTGATATGAGTGAATGAATGAATGAATCCAAAGATACGGTGAATGGATTTTAAACTTCCCTCTAGTGTCCGAAAGAGAAAATACAGCCAGCTTAAAAAAATACTTTGCTACATTGACATAATAGTTAAAGGCATTGCCTCCTCCTCATTTTTTTTTTTTTTTAAACTTTCACACTTGTTCTTTTTCAGACCTGCTGTTCTCTTTAAGACTGGTGGATAATAAGGGTTTTGTTTTTGTTTTTGTTTTTGTTTTTGTTTTTAAATCAGAGTCTGTTGTGTCACATGGGTGTTTGAATTCTATAAAATGTCTCATAGCAGGTCTTTATGGGGAAAATGTGCTTTTAGTAGTTTCAGCTTCTGGGCACCTAGGTGGCTTAATCAGTTAAGAGTCTGACTCTTGATTTCAGCTCGGGTCATGATCTCAGGGTTCTAAGATTAAGCTCCACTTTGGACTCCGCTGGGTGTGGAGCCTACTTAAGATTCTCTCTCTCTTTCTACCTCTCTCTCTCTCCCTCTCTCTCTCTCCCTCTCTCTCTCTCCCTCTCTCTCTCTCCCTCTCTCTCTCTCCCTCTCTCTCCCTCTCTCTCCCTCTCCCTCCCTCTCCCTCTGCCTCTCCCCCTCCCCTGCTCAAGCTCTCTCTCTCAAAAATAAACCAAAAAACAGTTTCAGCTTATGTTCAGGATAGATTGTTTTTATTGTTTTGTCTTTGTTATTCAGTTCTACTGAGTTGTATATATATGTATATGTATTTTAATGTTTATTTATTTTTTGAGAGAGAAAGAGACAGAGTGTGAACCAGGGAGGGCAGAGAAGGAGACACAGAATCCAAAGTAAGTTCCAGTCTCTGAGCTGTTTGCACAGAGCCTGACCCGGGGCTCAAACCCATGAACCATGAGATCATAACCTGAGTTGAAGTCGGCGCTCGACCAACTGAACCACCCACGTGCCCCTCAGTATAGTTATCGTGATTGGAATAAATTGTCAAAGGCACCTTTGACACTTTTCAGTTTTGTTTTGTTTGTTGGTGTTTGTTTTTTTGTTTTTTGGTGTTTGTTTGTTACAACATTTGGGAAATATGCCAGAGTACTTAAGAAATACTGAAGTGTGATCATACTGGATGGATATTAGTTACTTGAACTAGTTTTCAGTCTAGCTTATTGATCTTTTCTTTCTGTTTTTAAGAGCCATTGTGTTTTTGTTTCAGCATCTTTTACTGATTATAAAAGTTAGACATGCTCCACATAAAACGTTTAAAAACTATAGAAAATGTTAGTTCCACTACTCAGCTAATCTATTAAAATTACAAAATTAATGCATGTTGCTTACTTTTTGAAAGATCCAGTGAAACAAATATTTAAAAAGTTCTTTGTGGGGGTGGGCACGTGGGTGGCTCAGTCAGTTGGGCATCCAACTTCGGCTCAGCTCATGATCTCACAGCTGGTGGGTTTGAGCCCCACATTGGGCTCTGTGCTGACAGCTCAGAGCCTGGAGTCTGCTTTGGATTCTGTGTCTCCCTCTTTCTCTGCCCCTCCCCTGCTCATGCGCGCGCGCTCTCTTTCTCTCTCTCTCTCTCTCTCTCTCTCTCTCTCTCTCTCTCTCTCTCAAAAATAAACATTAAAAAAATTTTAAAAACAAAAAATAAATTAAAAAAAAAAAGTTCTCTGGGGGCGCCTGGGTGACTCAGTCAGATAAACATCCGACTTTGGCTCAGGTCATAATCTTGCGGTTCGTGAGTTTGAGCCCTGTGTCCGGCTCTGTGGGGCTCTGTGCTGACAGCTTGGAGCCTGGAGCCTGCTTCAGATTCTGTGCCTCCTTCTTTCTCTGCTCTTCCCCCACTCATGCTCTATCCCTCTCTCTCTCAAAAATAAATAAAAACATTTTTTTAAAAATTTTAAAAAAGTTCTGTCCTTTGTTCCCTCTTATTTTTCTAATCTTCCTCTTTGTGATAATCACAATTGACAGATTGGTATATATTATATGTTCCAGTATTTTCTTGGACCTACAGACATATATAATACTACTATGTGCTTAAAAATAGATGTGATTATTTTATAATCTGAAATTTGATATTTTAAAACTTCATTGAGACAAAATATATACAGTATAGAAAAGTGCATATAAGTGTACAACTCAGTGAATTTTCACAAATTAAACATTACCGGGGTGCCTGGGTGGCTCAGTCGGGTGGGAGTCTGACTTCGGCTCAGGTCATGATCTCACAGTTCGTGGGTTCAAGCCCCACATTGGGCTCTGTGCTGACAGCTCAGAGCCTGGAGCCTGCTTTGAATTCTGTGTCTCCCTCTCTCTCTACCCCTCCCCTGCTCACACTCTGTCTGTCTGTCGGTCTGTCTGTCTCTCTCTCAAAAAAAAAAAAAAAAAAAAATTAAACATTACCTATGTAACTAGTTCCCAGATCAAGAAACACTACCAGCCCTCTTGAAGCCCGTCCGATCAATTTGTCCATGATACTGGATAAGTAAGTAATTAGTAGTGGCAGAGTTAGAACTTGATTGTTGTATCTTGAAGATGAATGAAGAGTATTATTAATGGTTTCAACTTTGGTGGCTTTTTTGAGAACTTGGGTGATTTAAGTGATTTGGGTTATTCTTTTGCTATAAAGTTTACTGGTCTAAATATTTATTGAGGACTTTGCTATGTGTGCCTTACTGTGCATAATTGGGAAGGGAGACAAAGGCAAATGTAATACAAGTTCTGAGTTACAGTCTAAAGTAGGAAGACAAATCACATACTAGACAACAGAATAAGTATTGTATTGGGGCGCCTGGGTGGCTCAGTTGGTTGAGATTCCAGCTTCGGCTCAGGTCATGATCTTACAGTTTGTGAGTTTGAGCCCCAAGTCAGGCTCTGTGTTGACAGCTCAGAGCCTGGAGCCTGCTTTGAATTCTGTGTCTCCCCCTCTCTCTGTCCCTCCCCTGCTTGCTCGCATGCACGCTCTCTCCCTCTCTCTCAAAAGTAAACATTAAAAAAAATTTTTTTTTTTTAGGTATTAAATTGTGTAATAGTGATTCAGGAAAGGAATCATTGCTGACAGCATCAAAGAAGGCTCTACAAGGAAGGTGGAATTTGAACTTGAAGAATGGGTAGGATTTGAATGGCATGGTTATAACAGCACAAGTCATGTCATGAAAATAGAAATGGATGAACATGATAGACAGTGAGCAAACAGATTAGTTTGTCTGGTGTGGGGAAACATGCTAGGGAAAGGTAGGAAGTAAGTTTGATAGTGTAAGATAGGGCCAGATTATGGAACATGTAACAGCTATAGAGTGGAAATTTGGCTAGATGACATAGGTACCAGAGAGTCACATATAGCTTAGTGCATAGGAGTATTAGATTTGGAGCCAAAATGACTCAAATTCTTCCCCCCCCCCCAAATTCTAATACTGACTCTTCCATTTACCAGCCATATGATTTAGAGAAGATCTTCAACCTCTCTGCACCTCAGTTTCTTTATCTATAAAAATGGGGAAATTTTCATAGGCTTATTATGACAAAATAATAAATATAAATATATAGTTCTTGCCACAGGGCCTTGGCCCTAGTAAATGTGCAATAAATGTAACTTTCTGTGTTTTAAAAACATTTTTTTTTAATGTTTATTCATTTTTGAGAGACAGAGAAAGACAGGGTGTGAGTGGGGGCGGGGCACAGAGCAAGGGAGACACAGAATCCGAAGCAGGCTCCAGGCTCTGAGCTGTCAGCACATGGCTTGAACCCACAAACTGCAAGATCATGACCTGAGCTGAAGTCAGACTCTTAAACTAACTGAGCCACCCAGGCACCCCAATGTTTGTTTATTTTTAGGGGAGAGAGAGAGAGAGAGAGAGAGAGCACGTGCACGCGCCAAGGTGGGGGGAGGGGCAGAAAGAGAGGAAGACACAAGGATTTGAAGCAGGCTCCAGGCTCTAAGCTGTCAGCACAGAGCCTGATGCGGGGCTCGATCCCAAGATCCGTGAGATCATGACCTGAGCTAAAGTCAGACACTTAACCGACTGAGCTACCATGGTGCTCCTAACTTTGTGTTTTTTAAGAACAAATACTTGAAAGCAATGGTATGCAGAATGAGGAAGACTAGAAAGAAGTTATAGTTACCGCACAGACATGTTAAGGGTCTCTGTTAGGTTTATGGTAGTAAGATAGAGTACATTTGAGGGTCGTGAAAAGAAATTGGACTTGAATTCTTTAGAAGAAAATGTTTTGGGCTTCCCCAGTGATCTTTTATTAAATAGTTGTAATTCTTCTGTGGACTGTATAGATACTTGGGCAAGGTGAATTTGACTTTTTAATTTAGTTAAGGTATTTGAAACTCCTTAAGAGTTCCACGTTTATATTATAGAAGAGGATATCAGAAATTTTATCGGAATTATCCACTTTCCAAGAACATTTGTGATAATAGTGGTGAGACTGGTATGTTTGGTTCCTTGTTTTTGATGTCTTGGCAAATTAATTGGTACATGTGTGTTCTTGGAACAATGTAAATTTTAGTTTCTAGTTTAGTCCTTAAAGAGAAAAAATTTTCCTTTATCGAGAAGGCTAGAATCTGAAGGAAGGTACTGACACAGAAGTTTCCCTTAGACATCAAGATTACCTTTATGGTTAGCTACTTTGAGCAGTAGTTTCTTATTCTTTTTTTTTTTTTTTAATTTTTTTTTTTCAACGTTTATTTATTTTTGGGACAGAGAGAGACAGAGCATGAACGGGGGAGGGGCAGAGAGAGAGGGAGACACAGAATCGGAAACAGGCTCCAGGCTCTGAGCCATCAGCCCAGAGCCTGACGCGGGGCTCGAACCCACGGACCGCGAGATCGTGACCTGGCTGAAGTCGGACGCTTAACCGACTGCGCCACCCAGGCGCCCCAGTAGTTTCTTATTCTTTAGTTATTTTAATATGGAAAATGCCAGGGAATTGCTAAATGATATGAATTAGAGAGCTCGTGAATTTTTGGTTTAAGTCAGGAGATGATAGGATGAGACTGGACTTGCTGGCTAGCTAGCTAAGCTAGCAGACTTTAAAATCAAAAAGTTTCACATTTAGTTCTTTTCATATGAAACCTAATGAATGCTACTCTATGAAACATCAGTGAGGTTCCTCTATAAATCTGTTTTAAGCCAGTCTTTTAATTTGGGTTAGAAAGAAGAGCTGTCTTTAAAATGGGCATGTCTGTACAGCTCCTTTTCCATCTTATAAGAAGACTGAGGTTACAGATATGAAATGCTTTGAACTCCAAATTAAGAAAGGACTACTTAGGGGCGCCTGGGTGGCTCAATCGGTCAGGTGTCCCAGGTCATGATCTCATACCCTGTGAGTTCCAGCCCCACATGGGGCTCTGTGCTGACAGCTCAGAGCCTGGAGCCTGCTTTGGATTCTGTCTCTCTCAAATATAAACAAACATTGAAAAAGAAAGGGCTACGTAAATTGCAAATACCTTTTTTTGTCTTTTAAAAACTATAGTACTACTTTGGGGAACTAAGTGGGATTGTAGAGTATGATGTAAATATTTAACATTAGTTGCAAGAATTCTGTGGACAAAAATGACAATATAGGTAATAGCTTACTTTCCCTGATCCCCATTTTCTTTTTCTTTTTTTTTCTTTTTTTAAAAAGATGTTTTATGGTTTTTTTTAAGTTTATTTATTTATTTATTTTGAGAGACAGAGCAAGCGGGGGAGGGTCAGAGAGAGTTCCAAGCAGGCTCCATGCTTCAGCACAGAGCCTGACGGAGGGCTAGAACTCACAAACTATGAGTTCATGACCTGAGCTGAAACCAAGAGTTGGACACCCAACCGACTGAGCCACCCAGTTGCCCCAATGTTGTATTTATTTTTGAGAGACAGAGCACGAGTGGGGAGGGACAGAGAGAGGGGGACAGAGGATCTGAAGTGGGCTCTGCACTGACAGCAGAGAGCCCCATGCGAGGTTCGAACTCCCCAGCCGTGAGATCTCATGACCGTGAGATCATGACTTGAGCGAAATCAAGAGTTGGACACTTAACTGACTGAGCCACCCAGGTTCCCCTCTACTTTACTTTTATTTAATTTTTTAATGTTTATTTGTTTTTGAGAGACAGAGAGAGAGCCAGAACGTTAACGGGGGAGGGCAGAGAGGGAGGGAGACACAGAATCTGAAGTAGGCTCCAGGCTCTGAGCAAGCGGCGTAGAGCCTGACGTGGGGCTCGACCTCAGGAGCCATGAGATCATGACCTGAGCCAAAGTTGGACACTTAACCGACTGAGCCACCCAGGCGCCCCTATTTTTCTTAAATGAGTCCCATGCACTGCTCCACCACTACACCTAAGAAAATATTCTACAATCTTTGACATATTCCATCCCAGCTGTGTTATGCCCCTAACGTTGGCATTAGTGATTGAAGTGTTGATGCAGCCTGCCAGTTATGCAGCGACCTGGCGGTTGCTGAGAGTTTTTTCTGAGATTTGGCATATGGCTTGAACAAGACTTAGATACTTGTTGCCTGATTGTAATGAAACCTGCTAAAGGAATGGTTAGCTTGGATTTAATTGGATGTAGATGTTTTATATCTGAACTGGATTCGAGCCAACTGTGTGTTTTGGTGTGTGTGTGTGTGTGTTTGCAGATTATTTGATGTATTCCTTCTCCTACCCCCACCAATTTCGAGATTACTACCTTCCCGATATGCCCCCTCCCCTCTTAATTTCTGCGTCACAGGAAGCAGGAGTTTCAGACAGGGTGGATTGATGTTTGCAGCTGATCTAATATGCAACCTAAATCTATCCACGGTGTGAAGTTGATTAGCCTGAGAAAAGAAGGGCGAGGCAGAGGCCCCAGGAGCATCTTTTTACTGTCGGGTGTCATCTGGTGGCTATTGCTGTGGAAGTCTGAGGCACTCTGGGAGTTATTGCCTGGATAGGGGCCACTCTAGCACCCAGGCAGAGAGTGGGCTGGGGAGCGAAAGAAGGGGCGCAGCATCACTTGGCCCAGCTGTGGTATGCTTGCCTCCCGGCTTTGGGGTGGTAGTCAGGAGAGATCGGGGCAGCTCTAACAAAGAGGAGCCGCGCAGGGGCCGGGGCCGCGGGTAGCTGGCCTATCCCCGGCGGCTGACCTCCCAGTGGGCCTCCCCAGTTGGCTGCTTGGCGGGTCGCTCTCCTGGCTCCCTGGCTTGCCATTGGCTGTGCGGGCAGGAGGGGGTTTGCGGAGGGCCGGGATGGAGTTGAGGGGGCGGGGCTGGCTTCCGGCAGCAAAGGGTAGCAAGCGGCTGCCGGCTGGGGGAGGGGGTGTCGGCGCAC